TGCATACTGCTAATCCGAGCAGTCATCTGTTTTCGGCAACCGCTGTAAAAGTGGGTCGAACACTCAGTCGAATTTGTTTATGCTGTAGCACAATCACATTGTTTCCTCACTTGTTGTCATTACTGTTGCTACCAAACTAACTCTTCTTGTCTTATATTCTTGACTAATAGGTTGTTGGCAACGACTGGGTCGATCTCTTGTGAGGACGTCTCCAAGTTTCCAAGCTAACAATTAGGCCCGTGCAAGGCGCATTGCCGTGGGCTCACTGGCGAGAAAAAAGTTTCTGACACAAAAAGCTGATTCGACTAGTGAATTATGCCCATAGCAGACTTTATCCAAAAACAGTTGCAAAGAAATTCCTCTTTGAAAATTCTCGTCAGGCAACTACAATTATGAATTGCATAGTCGATGGGATGATATGCTATCGCTAGCGTAGCTTAGTTATGGTGTGTCAACTTTGTGATGTGCCGCAGTCAGCGCCCAATCTTGAACACACAACTATAGATTGATGAGTCAACAGTCAGCTGCTAGATCAATGACCACAGGAGAATTACACTTTGTACAAGCATTTTCTGTCTGCATAGTTTCGGCTGCAGCCAGTTGATTGCGGTGGCTTCTGTAGTGGTCAAGCTACCCTTAATGAATTCTTTCCGCGAGCTTTTCAGCGCAATGTAGAGTGCTTCAAAGCAGTCTTTACTTTGGTTATGTTGTCCACTACTGATCAGATGTACCAAAATTGAGCTGTGGACCTACTTGACCGTACCAAGCCACAACAATGTCGGTCAGTGTTCCGCTATCCGCCTCGAAAGACGTCTAGTCTTATATCCGATGTACCGCGTACCACAGGTGAAGATGAATTAATATAGAACGAATAACTCTGACTGGATCGGGAGTTTGTCTTTGTGGCGTAGTGTAATCAGCGGTGTGGTCTCACTAAGGATGAGGACGTTCCCGGCTGGATATGTTTGATTCAGTGTCGTCAAGATTTTCTTATTCAGCAGGTTAAAGGGGATATCCCCAATGAAAGGGACTGAAAAGAAGACGTCCTTTTTTTCTTACGGTCGCTGTTGCTGCAGCTGGGGCCTAAAGTGCAGTATGCTTTTTGATGAATTCCGCGGAGTACCCATTACGTTCTAGTGTTTTGAAGATGAAATCCCTTTCCGCTTCTAATGTCTCTTGGCTGCATATTTTCATGATGCGGTAGTACAGATAACGCGCTAGGTTTCGTTTGTACTTCATTAGTACAAAATTGAAAGCTTGCGTATACTGCCCTCCCCAAGCTGCATTCCGGTAAACCTTTTCTTCAATGGACCCATCATTTTATCGTCGTAGTTAAATGTTCAGAAATGGCAGTTTGTCGTTATCCTCCGTTTCGCAAGTAAATTTTAACCATGGACGGGCCTTGTTGTACTGCTGTAATAGGTACTCAGAATTAGTATAAGAATCACAAACAATGAATGTGTCGTCCATGTAGCGATGGTAGCAGACAAGTGATGTTAGTAGGTTTTGCAAAGGTCCATGTTTCATTTTGCAAGGTAAATGTCCGCAAGTAGCGGTCCTATTGGCGACCCCATCGCAACGCCATCTACTTATCGAGAATATTTGCCGTCAAACAGAAACTGTCCGTTAAACGTGCAGCGTAACATTAGCTCTTTGGCGTATTAAACTTGGATACAAATAGTGCTGTTCATCTCCGTTAGCTGCTTACTGGGATAACTGACAGTTGCTATTAATGGAATCGACTGATGGAATGGACTAGATGGACTGCATTTCCACACTATATACACATAAAAAACCAGCGCTAAAGATGGGTAAAATATGTGATGGTTTACCTACTTTAAAGCTACAAAGGCATACGGCCATATGAGACACTGAAGTGAGGGGGAAACCTTTCGAGGGAATAACTCGTGCATGGTAACATGTCCCCAGGAGACGGTTCCATGGATAGCCGTATTACTTCACTTGAACATTTGGACTTATCTATATCTATTGTTTTTGAAAAGCACTCCTTGAAAGGCTCATCCAATCAAATAGCCACCCCCACCAAACAGTTTGTGAACTGCTTTGGGGAACTAGAAAAAACTATTCCAGACCATCTTGCTGTACATAATGATCAACCCATTCAATCGGACTGGGCCTCACACTGTAGGATAACATACTTTTGGTAATAATAACTTCACGTCGTCAGTGCAAGAGTGTCGCATTTCCTGTACATATGTAACATATGTGCCAAATATAGACACAGGTTCTCACTTGCTTAGTACTCTGCCTATTATTATTACTACTATCAAGATTAGTATGTTCTTCCGGATGCTTCAACTACGGCTGCAAACAGCTTGCATGCTCAAAAAATGGTTTCTCTTCCAATTACTACCTAGCGTGCCGATACCATAAATCGGATGTCCTCCTCTCTAGTCCTAGATGTTGTGCCCGCAACGAAAGGTCTACAATCCGGCAAACTTCGAAAATCCGAGATGCCTGTTTCTCCTAGTATACAGTGATTAGCTACAGGGTGTACTACTAAGGAAATAATCAGCAATTTAAAGTGTGGTGCGCCGGAACTCGACTAAGCCAGAACCATGGAGCTTCCAATAGAGCACCAGGTGGCTGTTTCATAACTCCACGGCCAAACCACAGTGCGAATTTCCGCCGCCCAGCGAGTATTTCAAAATCCCAATGAAACTGCCGAACACTGGAGTTGAAGTTCCGATCACCACAGACACCTAACGTGATGAAACCTAAAACTCGGTACACCTCTTTTTGTGAGCCAAACACATATATCACTACGCCAATAATCATTAGAGCAGAAGTATTTGGAAAACCGAAGGATAGCCGGCCAACAGCAGACAATGCCAGCAGAAGAAAAACGTTTGGGAGCCACAAACATTTCTGGGCAAAAATTGGATACTGAAGCAGCGTGCATCACGCAGCCTCCAGGAGAGCGAGTGCAGAACAGTCAAAGTTTTGGTAATCAGAAATGATGCATATGGCTGCTGATAGTCGCCATACTGAGTAATCGTTCGCACCTTGAGTGCTCACACAGTAATGCGCAAAGGACTACATACACCCTCAAAGCAACCTAACTGAGATGAATTGCGTTAGTTTGAAATACCAAGCAATTCGAAGGGACAAATTTACACCCCCGGCTAACATTACGTCGCACATATCACCCTGGTATATCTGAAAAGCTGAAGCTCCGTTCGCGGAGGTACGTCAAAGGCACTAAGAGTACGCATGCATGAACTAGGAGCAATTTAACGTATGAACCTTAGAACTCACTTAGCATCAAGGGTAGGATGGAGTGCATCGTACCCTCCTGGTTCGCCAATCACCTGTGAAGGCCGGGGCGTCTGTGTTTAGTGGGACACTTCATGTGATTCTCAATGCAAGGATGAAATCATCCGGTCTCACGTTCACGGCTGACGAATAGTGGGTGAACATCGATTCTATCGGTTAGGTCCACGCTTGTGCACTTCCTGTGTCCCCGGACTGGGAACAGTTTTTGAAGTGAACAGGTTAGGGCCTAGTTTCTCACTGGACCCATTTTCGTTATGAACAGAAGCCGATCCACTATTCGAGCGAGCGTCACCACTCGACTTTTACACTGAACTTGGGTGTCGAACTACTGGAACATTATTTTTGGTTCAATTGCAGCGCTGCTTGAAGAATCGAGTTTCAATGAAAACTAACCGAACGCTTCTCATCGAATGGCCGTTGAGACACCTTCGTTGTTTAAAGCTGCTTTATGCGCAACCCTCAGTACGAAATTACGTTCCTACTCTAGCACTTCAATGTCATTAAGAAAGATCACATGGGGCGTACACCAGATGGAAGAAGTTTTTATAACATCGATCCTTGTTTAGATAGGTGTGCAGTTCGACCTAGAGCGCGCTACTTACTAGTTTTGATTTACATTCGAAATCCGCAGTAGCAAGTCCACGCCGCGGCGCAACCCGTACTGGTTTCTACAACGACGCGCACTCACATATCTTCCCTTAAGCCACCGCTACCTCTGTCCAGCCATTCCCACATAGTTTACAAATTCACATGTGATTGCAAGACCACTTACATAAGCATGACAGAGCCTTTTCCGGGTGCGAATCGCGGAACATTTCCCAGCGTGGGTCGGGAACCACCTTGCGTACCGAAGCTCGTCCACCACCCCAGGTGTGCGCCCAGATAATGCAAGCGGTCAGCCGTACAAGGCGCGTGCGCCATCAATCGCTCACTATCTGCTTACTGGAACACTGTGTCAACCCCACGCATATGTTTAGTGTGATCTCCGGATCAAATAACACTCATGTGTTGTGATATGCTGAAGTGCCATCAAACAACTTGCTACTAATCTATGTGTGCAGAGGGACGCGTTCGTCTCATTGTCTCTACCCTGGTACTAAGCAGATAGGTAAATGGTGAATTGACAAGAACACACGTGCGTGTATGTGGGTGTACGTATATTGAGAAATATGCTGTCTCAACTGATGCTATAAATTTGTACGTGTTCTGTGATACACACTTGACAATATGCAGACGAATTTGTTCGGAATTATATCGTGCGGTGCTTTGGTGTTAACGTTTTTACTGAAAACTTTGTCGGGAAAGAATTGCTACAATACGTCTCTTGCTGATTCCATAACTCCAACTCATAGTTGGTTGTCATTTGCATCGGCTCCGTTTATTTCTTTGTTTGTTTGTTTGCAGTGACTGGCCCGTGGCATACAATTAGGTCACAGCAATCGGCAAACTTCCGGCCTCGGGATGCACCATAGGCGAGGTTAGGACAGAAGAAACCATGATAATCCATGTCTCCGGCATGGATAAATTTAATTGCCATGTTCCGCAGTGACGCAACCCAGTTCTCCTATCTGCTCTGATGCTCATTCCCAAAGTGGGTATATTACGGGCCTGACTTTTGTTCAGGTTTCAAGTCCAATGCAGATAAGACAGTCGCCTTCAAAGTAAAAGCAGACAGCTCCAATTGCTTCACATCTTCCATTACTATGCGGAGTCGTCTAATCGTGCTGACTCTTGCTGGGGTGCTGCTAATCTTCGGTGAGTGGTACATGAAACTTGAACTGCTATGTGAACCGGCTTTTTTCATTTTAGCATTATATTCTTCGTTTTGTACCAGGGATAAGGTAAAGTCCGCTTTTGTTTTGCGTCAGCCAGAGGCGTACCATAGGGGACAGCGGAGGGGGCGATCCACCTTAGGCGGCACGTAACAGGGTACGGCAATTTTAGCTGAGGGTTCAAGATTTTAATGTTACTCCGCATGGCTAATAAAATGTTTGAACCACGTGTCACACCTGTGCAAACGTTCCTCCCAAACGATCCCCTTCATTTGTCCCACTGTGGTCACTATCACCACATTAACCTCAGTGCCCCAAATGATCATCCATTTCATCGAGAACTAATGTGCACTTTACCCTGAGCCGATTGTGTGACCTTCACGCGCCTATACCGCCCTCAGCCAGGGCGAAAATTGTACCACCCGGGTAGCAAAACTTGTTGCTACACCACTTGTGTCAACAAGATGTGGGCTTCTTGCTAGCGTTCCGCTGATCCGCTGAATTCCATCTACTTTTTTCAAACCCTGCTGGCAATTCCTGTTATCAAACCACGGATTCTGATCGAATTGATAAGATGAATAATATCTCGCGTTTAAACTTGCCCATTTCTAAAAGGACTCCGAAAACTTTAATGCTTTCTGAGTTCCCATTCCCCCATTCATCAGTTCTTGGTTCACCTAGTACCAGTCCCATTTGTTTCGCTGTCATTTGCCGATTTACTTACCCCCAAACACAGTCAACGAGTCACAGTCAGAATCATATTCGGTCTCTAGATGGCAGCCCTTATCTCTTCCGCTCCACAAACATTCATCCATTTATGGCGATCATGTGGAATTGTTCTTCAACTTGTTTCCTGTTCCCCCTCACAATTGCTAAGTGGTATTAGTAAGGTACGAGGCATAATGGTAAGTCAATTACTTGCGATTCAGTGTTTAAGCACATTTATTTAGCAATAAAGAAGTAAAAACAGAGTTTAACAGAACCAAGTTCTGATCCTCGCAAAATCCGGTTGCGATCCAACACCACTAACTCGCTGGTCTTCGTCTCATTGGCTTTTGGATCACTTCGAGACACGGATTTCCAGGTGACCTTCTAGCCCGTTGGCTCATCTCAGTGGCGTCCGTCATGCGTCTTAGCATGATATTAAAATGTTTCAACGTACTCGTGGTTCCCGATCACCGTTCGGTACCCTACAGCCCACTCGAGGTTTCAGTGTAATCCGTTATTTACCAACAAGCCAGTTGATCTTGCATGTTTTCCTTAATGTGAGTCGCAGCAACCAGGCGACCGTACGCACGACTCACTGCACGGGAAATGTCACCTGTTTGGCGGCTAAGAAGCAAATTGTTGAGTCGCTCAGCGCGTGCACATGGCTAAGATCCGGTATACAAAACTGTCTGCAGGGAATTACATTCCAGACAGTCAGTGTGCAACCAAACCCTCCCATTAGACACCCTAAAACAAACCAAGCAGATAGTACGAGCCTAGCCCGTGTATCACTTTTGGGTTAATATATCAGTAGACTGTCTCCAAGCTATGGATTCGGATCCCAACTCAACTGTTTGGTCATGAAGCGTAAGAAAAATACACAAAGCAGCTTAGAGCCTGTGACACTCAGTTTTCATCTAGTGGTTAAGAGTGCTTTACAAATGCTGCCTTCATTCTAACCCCCATCTAGCTCATGCCTCACTCGGCCCTTCAGATCGGTGTCACTCAAGCTTCCCGCACAAGTTACCACATCCACCAACCTCACATCAGCTTGGCGGCTGTGAATGTATCCGTGGTAACTGAAAAACACCGAACCCGAAGGATCATGAATATTATCAGACAGACCCCTTCCCGAGAAAGGTATCTAAACTAGATGTTGCATTCACCGCTAAAACACTAGAGAACTCATTAGAACTCATTCCCAAGCCACATCATATTATCGATTTATGTAGCCCAGGTTCTGTTTTTGCTGAATTATTGATCAGTCAATATTTTTCGAGGAACTGGCTTGTTCGGTCCGCCTATCAACTGAAACCGCGGGAGGAACCGCTGATTTTGTAGGTAAAAGTTTTAGCCTCACAAATGGCTGGGCGTAGTATATATAATGTGATTTCATTCAATCTACATATCGGCAATCCCTTTGATTACTTGTGATGGCCAATGGCAACAACGCATTTCATTTAAAGTAAGCACTAAACGCCGTTCGCTCAACCCACGAGCAAAACAATTCCAACTTGTCCGAAGCGGCGTTGTTTCGTCGCGCACCGATCACTCAGAAGAGTAGCCATATTTATTGCTAGAGGAATATGGCCTCGGACAGAAAGGTAGACGGAAAATCCATCATATACCACTTTAATAAAGTTCATCCGCCCCTGATGAAGCTTAGATGATCCAGTCAGAACAGAACCGAATCTTTTCATTTAGTCCTTGGAACTTGGATGCCACAGTAGAAGGTCGAGGTGGTCAGGTTGGATTAGCACCCTACGCTATCACAGCACAAATTGCTTTTTATCAAGCAAATTTGTGTCAACTCCATATGCGCTTAATTAGACTCCTAATTTTCATCGTTCTATCGCTTCGTACAAAGTTTTCCTTGACCTCACATTGGCTTTCATCGGAATGCTTGAATTTGGTTTCACCTTTGACTACCCAGTTTACTGAGTATCAAGTCTTTGCTGCCTTCTTTCCCCTTACTTAAGCCTTAGACGCGGACGCGGGCTGCAATGGTGAGGGGGAGAAATGTTCCGGGTCACTGGGAAGCCGCTGTTGCGGGACTCTGCAATGCGATATGAAAAAGTGGGCCCACGGCGTATGCCGGACTTGCGTCAGGGATAAAAATTGGTGCTTTGCCAATCACGAATGCTGTTCCAAGCGTTGCAAAAATATGAAATGCTATTAAGACCGGCGTCAGGGTACTTATGTCCTTCATGGCTGATTGCTTATTGTCAAGAGCTAAAACTTTAAATGCCTGCACAATACACTCTGTTGTTATTTAACACATTTGTCTTTTTGCTTCGAAGGAAAGGAAAATGCGTGTTTTAGTCGGTTGTACCAACACTCAGTGCAAAGCATATAAATCTGTCTGCCACGTTACGACATGGCTGCTGACTAGTCTAGTGCCGATACTTACACTCTTAGGCTCAGACGTGATGAGTGAACTACGGTGGCATTAAAAAGTTTGCCGACATACTTGTGAAAGTGACCTTTTCTGATCTGTAGACCGCGATGATCTAGTGCATCTGGCCCCACTTATTAAGTGCGCGGCTGCTCAGCTTGGTATAATTTTATGAGATGAATCAGACAGCAAATTATGCCATTTTTAGCATCTAGTTAAGATAGGATATCGTTGCAAATGGAATGAAATAAAAGCCATAGTTAAGCATGCCGTGAGGACAGATGACCTTCATCGATCGAAGCTGGAGAGTTGAGAAAGTTCTGTTGCGAAGGAGTTACGAGTTTTTCACTATGCTAGCAGATATTTACGCTTAAGAAATGTTCCAAATAGCGTTGGACCGCACTCACTTGAAGTCCGTGAGGGAATTAACCCTTCTATTGTGCTCACTATGGTGCTATCAAAGCAGAAGGTCTCTCAAACGCAACACCAATACCCGCGGTCGTGAATTACTGTTTTATACACATTTTGCGCTGGAACTTTACAACAGACTATGGATAACAATGGTCCAATCTGTATTCCCCTTCGATGGACATACAGACTGTATTTTACCCGGTCATGGCAGCAGTACGGAATACCAGACAGTAAGTGTTTTCCACGGGATATGTTCGGAGGACAAACTAAGGACAGCAATATGACTTCCATTTCCTCGACATAAATTTACGCAATTCGAGGAAAGTTAGCAGCATCGTAGGGTCTAATGTAAGGTGGACAAGTGACCCTCGTCAGAATGGTAGGTACATCCAGAGTACTGATGGAAATCCACAGGCTTAAGCCATCCAAATGCTCTCATTTAGTGAATTTCATGCTAATTCATGAAGGGTGGTGTATGTTACAGGTATTTCATGTTGTTCACTACTGTCCCTTATCGTAACATGGGCTATGGTCGACGGCCCGATTATCCGCTGCGCACAACTGATGATACCTCAGTGATTCAATCTTCAGTCCCATCGTTGGGATTAATTCGGGGTCAACATTGTCCTCCACACGTTTAGCACAAGCATCACAATGGACGATGAGTTATGCCTTACTGCAGTCAGTAATAAGTCACGGCAGTCCACGCCTGTCACCAAGGCCCAGTAACTAAACTCGCTGGCTCGTAAGAGTGCTTCGCTAGTCACAAATAGCAATCAACGTATACCAAATAGTATTTCCTGGTGATTACTGAAGATGCCAAAAATGTTGAATCGTTTGCCGTCCTAGAAATAATATCTGAAGAAATAACGAGCCGCTAATGATGCATATGAACTCATGTCTGCCGTAGCAAATCAGCCCCGATGGATTGGATTATGGTAGTTCTTTGGTTGAGAAAATGCTTCAGTTAATTACTGAGCTACACTACGAGGCCAACTCTGTCGCGCTTATCAGTTCAGTTAGGTGGCAATAAAAACTCATTGTAAACAAAGTAACCGAGAGAGCTGAGGCAAGTTATAACAAGTCGACGTTTGGACCAGTATAATCCACATGGAAGGTTATAAGGAGCCCCAGTGCATCATGGACACATAGATGAGGTACCAGGTCTATGTTGAACTGCACACGTGCGTATAGACCATGAAATGATAACAATGGTATGCCATAAACTTTCTTCTACTGTGAACAACAAGGAGGAACAATGATATATTACAGGTAAAAAAAGCGATTGATTTACAAGTCCCGTAGGATGGACGCAGTGAAAGCAAACATCAGTGTAAATCGTCAAGTTAAGCGTCTAGATTCAGATGCCCGGCTTCATTAAACTATTTTAGTACGCGTATTGAATTGTTACTGTAGAGTAATATGGGGAAGGTACCTCTTAAGAACAAAAATTCGACAACGCTTACTAGTGCGCCGCTTTATTGAACTGATCTAATTGATAAATGCCTTTGTAGTATATCCGAACGATGTTCCACAACAACAGCGTATAAGTAGTAAAGCACAAACGCTGAGAATGAGCAACTTTTGTTCACGTTTGGTTGACATAGCTATCACCGACCATAGAGCGTAACGTAAGTGGATAAGCGAATCATCCAGACGTCTTTTGAATACCGTTAGTGTGGGGAAGAAATAATGTATGTGGAAAGAGCGTTCTAGTGTTGGAACACACGAAGGCAAAAGAAATTCCGGCGGCATTCCAACCTGCAGTATTGTTTGGCCAGCTTTAGCTGGTGTCCTCTGAGTGTGGTATTGCGACTTAGCTTTAGTAGGTGACAACAATAATGGTCTGGATTCCTCAGGATCATATAAGTCACTAGCAAGTCGCCAAGTAGCCGTTGATATTGTCCACTGTAAACCCAAAGGGTTTTCAGCCTCAATCGATAAGGGAGATGAAACAGGCCCTTTACATTCTTGGTCGCCCTCCGTTGGGGCAGTTCAAGAGCGGCAAGGTCTTGCTTTTGCCATGGCTGCCAGGCGTGAATGGCGTACTCAGAATGAGGCCGAATGTAGGCGTTGAGCATCTGCGAGAAGATTGAAGGATCGAAGAGCAAGAATGCCCAGCACAAAAGGCCAAGGTGTTGGTTAGCTTTTTTGGAGGCTTTCTCAGCCTGGCGGGAACAGCCCAGCTCTTCCTGCACTACCACTCCTAGATGGCATTCCTTTGAAATGCGCCGCAATATTTGATCCCACGGTCTGTATTCGCAAGTGGCTTTATGGCGTATGCTCAACACCTTGCACTTTGTAGTGTTGAACTAAAGCAAGTTTTGAGTCGACCATTCGTAGACCCTGTCAAGATCATCCTGAAGCGTTGCATTATCGCTGCTTGTCCTAATGGCTCGCCATATCTTGAGATCATCAGCGAAGAGTAAGGAGTTGGAAGTGACCACTGTTTCCAGATCGTCTATGTAAGTCAGGAACAGTCGTGGACCAAGTACTGAGCTCTGGAGCAATCCGCATTTAACATCGACTGAGTCAGAGATGACGCCGCGAACTCTTACATTCAGATGTCGTTGAAGCAACAAGTTACCCATCCAACCGAGGATTGGGTCACCAATTCCACAACACTGTATCTAGTGAAGGAGGATACGGTTGTTCAGACGGTCGAAAGCCTTTGAGAAGTCCAGACATACTGCGTCAACACCTATGCCGCTGTCAACGGTCTCAGTCCAACTGGATCTGGCAAGCAGCAAGTTTGAAGTGCAAGATCGGTTCTTGCGAAATCCATGTTGTTCTTGTGTTATGATATTGCTTTCCTCCAAGAAGTTCATCAGCGCTTCAGCAACAATCGCTTCCATGATGTTGGAGAGCATCAGAAGTATTGTTATCTATCGATAGTTGGCCGGATCTGTACGACTTCCCCCTTTATGGATTGGAGTGATGATTCCTTGCTTCCTCATTGTTGGCATCCGCATCTCATCGAGGCATTGTTGGAAGAACTTGCAGTGTGGGTCCGCCAGGTTTACTGCAGCCAATTTCAAAGCTTTTAGACGAATATTATCAACGCCGGGGGGGATATGCTCGAGCAAGACAATTGGCCTTTTCATAGCGTCCGCAGTCGTAAACATGATGTGGCTAACTCGTTATTTTCCCCCATACAGCTTAAATCGTACAACGGAAATGGATTTTCTGGCTGTGAGCCGTGCAACAAACGTAGATTCACAAAGTATTAAACAAACTACGCTTAATCCTTTGAATCCTGAATTTATTTACCTATGACTTTTTATTGTTTCTTTTTTCCTAAGTTAGAGTTTGGTTAGTAATAAACAAGAAAAAATAAAAATTTTGTAACATTTCCGTTTATTTTTAGGGTAGTAGTTGTAAGTACCGACAGGAATGTAAGCCATCAAGACTGTCACCAAGAAGACACATTATTGAAAGTGATATGCTTGAAAACCGTTCTTTTGTCGTTGTAGAACTAAAAATATCACAAAAGAACATTTTCGCTGTGATCTAAATTAGTTTTTTCCATGTATCATACTTCCCATCTTCCCCTTTCTGCAACAAATGTATGCCAGTGAGCGCCACGTTTCTGTATCCTGATGTCTTTAGGCAGAGAATACATATTTTCCTTCCTTTCTTTGGTCCGTTTCGTGATGACACTGTATGGATGGAAGGACGACTTCTTTATTCACTGGTCTGTTTCCCAAAACTAACAAGCCCCATTGTCAAGTCGCTTCGAAACTCCAGAAGTGAGATGTCATAACGCATTTCCTTTTACATCTCAAACTCACTGACACATGTCATTTCCATCATTTCAAAAACAGTATGTGTCACCATGTTTGATTTCCCATCATAATCACATATTGAGCGCAGCATATCTGCTTTGTCCATCCGGCCAATGGCTGGATCCTAAGCTTGTACTACTTTAGTAGCCACAGCGTCGGCAATTGCTTCAAGAAGTTCTTTACGCCTCACAGTATTTGAATTCACTTCCATAGTAATCGGACAAAAGATGAGCACACTTGTTTTCCTCCCACTTGAAGAACATACTTCCTTGATCAGGAGAACACTAAGCAAACTCACTTCTCTTCATCTCCTTGTCCTCTTGAAGTTTAGGAAGATGTTTCCTGTTGGGACGGACAGTTCCACAGACAAAAATGATGTTCACCATCCGATGCTCAAATAGTTCCACACCGGTGAACTAATTATCCAATATCACATCATATCCACTTTTCAGTTTTTAGATAAGTCTGTCCACAACAGTTCCCCCCCCAATCCAAACCTGTCTTTATTATTAGGAGTGTCCCGCGATTTGCCTTGATAAAATTCAAACTCCAACATAACCACTCATATCGGCTCGACACCAAATATTA